GTGAATATAACAGGTTTAAAATGATATATTTATTAAAAGAAACAAGTCTTCCATGTGTTCCTCTTGTATTCGCTCTCACACTGCACACCTACTCTTCCTGCGTGATATTGCAGGCTGCAGTCTCTCAGCAGTTCTTTGCTGTTACTCTTGCCTCGAAGTGCAACAATAGAGACCAATTACCCTCTGTCTCTGCTTGTATTGCAATAAGCCTGAGGTCCCCCCACTACCTTTTCAATTTCAAATCCTAACCCTGTCAGTAGTGCCATTTGTGGATTTGAACTCCCTGGCTTTGTGTGCAATATTATCTAGAGATTCACCTGGTACTGATCCAATGAACCAACGCAACCTTACAAAGCTGAAGGGAAGAGTGTAGAGTTTTCTTTGTATTAAATCATATGCCATGAAAAAGGATTTCTTTAACTCTTTTCCTCCATTATTCTCCATATCTCACCTTGTGGAAATGGGTCTGTTAGCAAGAGACTCGGACTCACATAGTAGGAAAAATGAATAGGGGAGGGAGAAGAACCCAAGTGAAAGGAATGCAGAGGTTCTGGAAGTTTCTGTAACTTGGAGATTCCAGAAAGAAAATACACAGCTTGAAAGAATAGGAAGCAGCCCTAAAAATAAACCTAGTGTAGGCCGTGGTGTTACACCTTCCTCAGCTCTAGCAAGGAACAAGGATTTTTTCATTAAAGCAGCTGCATAGGAAGTCCTTAAAACCTCTGTTGAGTTAAGCCCTCGGAAGCAAAGAGGTTCTGTCCAGATGATTGCCCAGCAAGCTGAATGCTGGTCTGAACATCTTTGGTTTTATTGAGTGGAGCTGGTAACCTCTTGAGATCTGGCTGTCTCCCAAGTAGGGAGGATAAATACTGCAAAATGTTTCAGTTTCCATTTCAATTTTGAAACTCATTTGCTTTGACTGAATTTGCACTGTGTTTATGTAAATTTGTAAACACTGTAATAAATTTATCTGCTGGTAGAAAATAGAAATTTTAGAAAAAGGCTGAAGAACATTTGTGAAAAGCAAATTCTAATTCAACAAGTGTAACAACAGAACCTGATTTAAATGTATGTTGTCACGGAACAGAAACATAGTAAGTGCAATATATATCTAGCAAACCCTAACCATAACAATCCAATATTCAAGTAATTGTTAACAGCTTAAATATTTTAAGATGTATGTCATTTTGGGGGGTCAGCAATGACTGATGCAAAGCCCAGGTTTTCACAGAGTGAATGATGGCCACAATCAGGTGATAGAAGCAGTTTGCTACTACATTTTTTATTATTATTATTATTTATTTTTTTTGTAGAAAACTCACCAGCTCCTGATTCCACCTCTAACTTGTGGTAGTCTGTGTATGTCCTTCTTATTTGGCTCCATGTCAATACTATCATTACTAAGAGCATTTATGGGCATGGACATCAAATGTCATGAAATGGAGTATTTTCTGATGCCCTTACTCTAGAAAAGTTCACTTCCTCCATCCATTGCTAATTTTGGAACCTCTTTTGTCTTCTGTTGCATCTGTTGGAGTCTGTAATGTCTCCTGTTTTGGTCTCTTCCACATCGCTTTTCAAAGATTCAAAGATTATTCTTAAATAGTCCTTTAATGTTTTTTAGGTGGGTTGTATTTTTGTCACTTCGTCAGTTTTGTACAGAGCACTTTATGTCACAAAATAAACTTAATCTCAGTAGGACAGATCTGGGGAATACTTAGTTATATGAGGAGCCACACCAAAGCCACTTGCAGTGTAAGTGAGAGAGCAAGCCGGTCTTGAATACTGAAAGGCTCTGTATTGCATTAGAACATAATTGTTTCCCATTGCAGAGCTGCTGTTTCCAGAACATACCTGTGTTTCCACTTTGCCTACACAATGCTTGAAGCAGAAAGTAAACAGTTAAGCAATGGAAATTTGCAAGCATTGTGGACTGGAAATGAACTATTATAAGCTTGGTAGGGGGAATTAAAAAGCAGTGCAAAATTCAATTCTTAAGTTATCCTGTTCAAGTGCTTGCATTGGAGGTACTACCATGAGGGAGATCACATCATCTGGGAGAAAGAGAAAATAATGAGTGTAGCATCTATAATAGGCACGTGGGAGACTCTTACTCTGTGTTTTGGTCATGTCCTGATATACGTGAGCTCTGGGAGACAGCTCCACATGTAAAAGAGTCAATAATCAAATCTGAAGTACTAAGGAACACAACTTGATGTTTCCTTAGAGAGGCCTCAAGTTTGCAACAGATGAATAAAGCAAAAGTGTGGTGGATACAAATTTGTCTTTAGGCCAAAAGGGGGAGGGGGAAACAACACTTATAGGAGAAAAAAATTTACGCTGTTCCCAGACTGGAAAGAAATATTAATGCCTCCATCAGAAATTGAATTAATTGTTCTTACATTGATAAAGATGTGATATATCACATCAAAGACTAGCTAAGTGATATCTGGAAATTAATTTGGGATCCTATTAAATAGAACTCAGAGGAGCTTCCCAAATGAATAACTTGTTTGTCAAGCATTGTGGGATTTTTGTGTTTACAAAGTCTTCTTGAGTAAAGACAACTATTTTCAACTGTTCCTCTTGCTCAAAATGAACTATGAGATTCACCACTAGACAGAGATTAGTGGCAAATTTAGCTAGTGCAAATTGCAATGCCTTGGTATCTTTCATAAATTAGTTATTGCTTATTTCTATTCCTTATAGGGATGACTTATACAATGTTATCCAAAAAGTCCTAAGTCCCAAATATAATATTGACAACCCATGTATGAATTTAAAGTTTAGTCTTGGTGTTCTGTAGCTTGCCCACTTTAATGTGCTTTGGAGAGTAACATAATGGAATCAAAATACACTTGCTTTTAATAGTGTTATTAGTTTGAAATAAAACTAAAACAAAATGTAAATGGGGCACTTCATCCATAAGGCAGTATGAACTGTGGTTCTGACCTCTCAACAAACTCGTTCTGCAGAGTGAGGTTGCCATTTGTTGGGAATTGTTCCAAAATGCAATAAGAATTATGATGATGACCAGTTTCTGTATGTTAAATGAAAACCACATTCCTGTGATTCTGTTCTGACACTGGTTTGTGAGGCATTGGAACAGGCTGCCCAGGGGGGTGGTGGAGTCACCATCCCTGGAAGTCTTCAAAAGACGTTTAGATGTAGAGCTTAGGGATATGGTTTAGTGGGGACTGTTAGTGTTAGGTTAGAGGTTGGACTCGATGATCTTGAGGTCTCTTCCAACCTAGAAATTCTGTGATTCTGTGATTCTGTGGTTTTGTCCCAGTGTAATTCCACGTATGTCTCTGAAAGTACCTCCGATTTTATATCAATGTCTGTGAGATCAAAAAGAAGGTAGGATTAGCTGAGCTGACTGGAAAGAGTTTATATTAAGACCAAAAAAAAAAAATGAGGGTAGTGGGGGAGAAAACTTCTATAATGTGTTTTGCTTTATCATGGACTGGAGACAACAGTCATGATTGTCTGTGGAATTGTTGGGGTGTCCAGAGAAATAGCACAGTTATTCTCTAGATAAGCAGACTGGTGATGACCAAGATAAGGTGATGACTTCTCCAGCTCATCTCTGGTTTCATCCCTTCGCTTTTCTGAGCATTTCACCTGTCTCTAGCTTTTATTTGGGATTGATATACACAGTCATTTGTTTCAGCTGCTAGAGAAGTGGGAGCATTTTCATTTCTTTTTGCCAGTTAAACTTATGGTTTTTGGTCTCTAGATTCTTAGAATTTTTGTTGAAGGATAGTGCCACTGGAGTAAATCTCTGCTGTTTACACAGGTGTGTTTAAAAGATTAAGGTTGAACAGACATTCTCATAATAGACCAGGGATCAATGAAAGCTCTTGTTTTCTCAAGAAGATTTAAGGCTTAGCAATGAAGTTGATTTTTTTGTTTGTTTGTTTGCTTGTATTATATAGAAAGTTGCATTTGTGTCTGAGCTTTTATTATTTCTGTGGACTTTGTATGATCTTTCATAGAATTCCTGAGCTGATTTCAGGTCCCAATTCCTGAAGATCTGCTTGAGCTTCACTGGCCTCAGACTCAGACTGAGACAATAGAAGGGATTTAACTCCCAGCTTGTATCAGTGGCCAGAGATTGTCTAGGTGATCTCTGCAGTAGGCAAGGGAAATGATTTCCCCCTCGTATCTCTGCCTCCTCTAGGTTTTTAATTTCTTGTGCATTCACCCTACCACCAGCACACTGAGTTTTAATGGGGCTTCACCAGAAGGGAATATTACTCCATGGGACTCAGAGCAGCTGAATCAAATGTAATGCAATGTACTACAAGGGAGATGAGCCACGGCAGGAAGGAGAAGCCAAAGTGGCATATATGTTTCACTGACCACAGGATCCGATGGCCTAAAAACGTTTTAACTTAGTGTCTTGGCTGGCTAATTTTCTCATAGGCAATTGCAGGAGGGAAGGAGACTGAGGCCCTGGGTTAGTGAACAGTTGCATTCATGCTTTAAATCCCTTAAGCACATACTTAATGGCCATTGATTTCAATGCTCTTAACAGCTTTGCTGAGTCAAGGCCTGACTGAGGGCAAAGTAAAGGCCTGGTGATGCAGTGCATGAATTATCCTTATAGCTTTAGACCCCCAGCTGCAGCTCTGAAGAGACTTGAACCTCGAGGGCCAGGCAGGCTCCTCCAGCACCAGTGTGGCAAGCTGGTAAAAGGCAAAGGACAGAGGGAATATCTATGTTGTGCATGGGAAGAAGGCTGAATAGCCAAAGATGTAGTTATTTCATAGATAGTCAGCTGCTCATATTATTTCTAATAGTGGCTGTTGCTGCAGGCTTTCCTTGTCTTCAAGGGGGAATTTTCTTTTTTTTTTTCCTTTTTTTTTTTTTTTCCTGTAAGAATAACTTATTCAAATGCTGCAGCTGCAGAATACAGCCCTAATTCTACATCTGAAGCCAAGAGGAGCTACAGCCCATATATGTCCTTTGTGTTGTGTTTTTTCTTGTATGTGCAGGTGCTCCCTTATGGGGTTCGATTTAAACCGGCACTGGGCAAATCCATCTCCATGGGCTCATCCCACCCTGCACGGAGTGAAACAGCTTATCATCGAGATGTACAACAACCCGGTGAGTGGGGAGAAGTAACACCAGAACAGCCGCTCGGCTAAGGTACTGTCTGTCTCCTCCTGCGGGGTTGTGAGAGCTGCCAGCAACTCTGACGTGGCTTAATCCAGTGGCAAACCAAAATAAGAGAGAAGCAAGCAAACACCACCCCCACTGCATGAGATCAGGGAACATCTGAAGTGCCTTTTGTTGCAGGAAGCATCGGAGTGGAGAGAGCAAGTGAAATGAAGTTCAGCTCAGATTAAATATGAAATAATGCTGAAAGCAGGGCCTAAATTCAATCGAGCTGCTCTCGTGATGTCCTGAGCTGGATTTGAAACAGCAGGCCCCCCAAATTGAATTACTGAATGGCATTGATGCTTAATCCAGAGCTCCGGCAGGGGTTGCTATGTAGCGTGCAGAGCAGGAGGAGGATAATATTTGCAAATATTATATAAATACACACGCACACACTCGTGCTCACTCAGAAGCAGAGGTGTTCTTGAAGGTGAAATCTTAGCTAATCAGAGGAGATGGATTGCAGAGAATATGGAGAAGAGGAGTGGGAGGGAGGCAGACAGCTATTGAATGTTTGACATCAAAGTGCAGAAGGATTATTGAATGTGGCACCTAAGGAAAAACTGCTGAACAAAGATGGAGATGGGTAGGAAAAAATCACTACCAAAAAAATAAAAGGAGATTTTATAGCTTATTATTTTTTTTCTGTGTGGAATTCCTGAAATTTGTTCTTTCTGTCTGCCTCACATTATGGAAATGGCATTTGAATCTTTAATTCCCTGGATTTTTATTTTTTTTTCTTTCAGTTAATGTATTAAAAAAAAAAAAAAAGGACCTGGTTTGCCTTGTTAATAAAGAGAATAATTCTTACTGCTGGCTACATTATATACAGAATAAGAGCTTCTTTAACTCCTGGTTCTGCTAGTACATCTTAATTGAACCTTTTACCTTCCAGATAGTAGTAATACCTGTACAGAATGGGTTTTAGGCACAAAAATGGTAAGTTCATAGGTAGGAATCTACCCCATATTTAGTACACTATTGTATGTAAAATGTTTTCTAAGACCACCAATTGTTTGGCTCAGAATTTTTTCTGTTCTGTTTGTGCAACACCTAGCACTGTGCTTGTGACTGTAGCTCTTAATATATCTTATATTAGAATGGTGATGATGGACAGTAAAGAAAGGAGCATTCCAGCTAGTTTGGTCTTTCTTTTCTTTCCTGCTCCAAAGAACAAGACAATTTCCTTCTTGAAGATGGAAAGAGCATGCAGGCTCCTTTGTCTGAGCAGAAATTTTGTTTGCTTGTTTTGTTTTGTTTTCCAGGGACAAAGAGGTCCTTAAACATTACAAGAACGTTGGGTGTAGGGAAAATCCTATAGCTCGTAAAGCGACACATCTCAGCACTATTAAAAGTCACTGTCAGTAAAATAAAGCTATTCTTGGGGGAAAAATTCTTTTCAGCTTTGTCCCATTCCAAGGAACCTTTGAAATCTCTGGTAGTTTCCTGTTGCCTTGTGTGCAAAGAATGAATTTATTTGCTGTGGTAGCTGAAATGAAAACTCAAAAGAAATGTCTGGTCAGAGTTGTTATGAAATGGAAATCTTTTTCTCCTCCATCTCTGTCTCCCACCCCTCTGTGGTGATCAACCTGAGATGAACCAGTTTCAGTTCATTTCCTTCTGAGGGAAAGAAAAGGAATCTTTCAAACACAAATGTAACATTTCATTTTCAGGGTTATTTAATTTTTTTTTTTTAAATGCAATTTAGGATTATTTTTTTTTTGATTAGATTACTAGAAAAGTTCAGATGTCTCTTCAGAGTTTCATTTCTCAGTGAATAAGCTACTCACCAAAAAAACCCCACCTCTTTTCTGATTTTATGATCCCCTACTCAATACCAACCTTTCTGTCAGTTTGAGACCCTCAGCAATACAAGAAAGGATTTTATTTATTTATTTATTTATTTCCAGGCAATACCATATTCTTAGTCCCTCTGATCCCAGTTATATTTGTATGAAAAGACCATAGCTGAAGTTCTGGGACAAAAGGGGAAAATGTGCCAGATGCCTCAGAGAGAGGGCATGGGGCTGTACATACGCCATCCTGCTTTAATAGTGGCTGGTTTTATTAAGTACTCGAGATAAAAACCTGTCTTCTCCTCCCAACAGGGCCAGAAGAGAAACCTGCTTTGAATCACTTCAGACTGCTAAAATTTTAAGTTCTGTCCAGGCATAGAGTGTAGCTTTTAGATGAGTAGCACATGATAGAGGGCTGGCTGCATGCATAGGTGAACCAGTTGCAAGGGGGCTGTTGTCAAACTGTGATGGATAAGGGAATATACATCTGAAAAGGTTTGTCCTGCCACCTTCTCTTCACCTGAAGTCTCCCTACACTGGGAAATATGAAATGAAATTATATGCAAAGTAATGGTCCCTGCAAAATATTGTAATAACCTCAGTTTCTCCCCCTCCAGACAAGATCTGTCTTGAGGAGCTGCCCACAGGAGAACTGGGTTGTATAAAGCAGAAGTTCAGCTTCATGTTGTTATTCCAGAATGGCTTGGTGCTGGCCCTTTAGATGTATTCATTCCCTTTAAATCATTTAAGGAAAATTAGCTGCCATAAGAGCATAAAACCACATTTTAAGTGTTGCTGTATAGGAGGATTTTTCTTCTACTGCTGCAGTATGGAAGATAAGCTGTTTCCTTTGAAAAAAAGTTCATTCTAGAGGGGGGAGGATGACTGACACAGAAATAAGTCAAGTGGGTATGAGGCACACACACAATGCTATAGCGACAGTGATTCCAGCATTGAATGGTCCAAAGCTAAGTGTTTACTGTAGTTACTGTATAAAAATAAACCAATGCATCTGTGGTTCTCTTTTGTTCTTCTGGGTTTTGCACAGATGCTTATTTAAAGAGTTTTAAATTCCGTAATGACCATATCTTTAGGTGGAAGTGGATGGGTCAGGGCACTGGAGGTCAAAAACTTCCTATCTTTGTCTGTCATTGATTTTGAAACGATTGTTTTTGATAGGCCAGCACAGTGAAAATGACTTACTATGTGTACTGTGGGGGTATTCTCAGCTCTGAAGCTAGTCACTATTACAGGTGAGACTGAAGTGACGGATTTACTCGTCTACATCTTGAACTGTTGGCTGAAGATTCTTGATCAGCACAACAGGATGTAAACACATGAACCATCTTGCTGACTTCAACCGTGTTCCTTGTGTGCTTATGGTTAAGCAGGATGTGTTTTGGATAGGTGGTCAAGTGCTCAGCAGTGGCAAGCTCAGAATATGGATGGTCTATGGAAATCAAACAGTGCTTATCCCCTGGTATAACATGAGGCCTCCAAGACAGAGAGCAGTAGAACTGCTTGATTGGCTTCATGTGGCCATACAGCACCTATCCTGAGGAGCAACTGAACTGTTTAAAACAGATTTAATGAGTGGACTTAGGTAGCATGTTCAGTGTTGGCTTAGTCCCCTTGAGTGTGTACATTGCAATGTGGTCTTTAACCACAGGGGCTCATATTATTCTTTTGTTCAGCCCCTTGCCTCCCTGAGCTCTCCAAATGGAAAACTTTCACATAGTAAGCAGCTATTCAGAGTTTTGTTTCAGCTTGTGTTCATTGTGGAGCCCTGTCCTGTATTTACTGTGTTATTCAGATCCTGCATTGAAGATAGGATTTTTAATCTCCTTGTGGGCTTATTATGTTGCTTATTGCTATACCATGAGAGCATTTCAGAGAAATTAATTATTTTTCGTGGCACCTCCGTGAGAGACAATTACATTATCCTTGCATGAATCGGGAACAGAGGCAGAGACAGTTATGGCAGAAGTACCTACTCATTTGAGATGGATAATTTAAGTTGACTGGGACCAGATTAGTTTCATGTCATTCACCTGTTTTCTATTGCCTGTTGTCATTGAAGCTGGAATCCTACCTGCAAATGTTTCCAGTATTAGACAGTATTCACCTTGTGCCCTGAATGAGCTGGAGACCTGACTGGGGGGAGAGGGACCAACACTTACCTGATGTGTGCTCATTAATTATCACCTCCTTTGTTATGCACACATACACCAAAGTCTTCAATTATTTTTTGCACAGACAACTTTACACTTACCATTCCTTACTTTGGAGTGTTACAGCCTTTGCAAACTTTTAATACAATTCCAAGTGAAAGCTTTCCTTGATTCGAAACCAAAACATACAGCTGAAACGTAGCTCCAGCGTGCTGAAGTCTGAGTCATCCTCTGGGCTGGAACTGCTCTATCCACCCCACAGACACCTGTCACATGGGCTGATGAATTAACTGATGGCAATCTACTATTGCTGTGCACTGGCATGAGGGAGGGAAAGAGATGCTTTGCCTGTGGGCTTTGTGGGTGTCTGCTGACAACAGAGTTAATAATAAGGGATGAGTAAACATAACACTGCAGACTTGGGGCTGGCTTTTAAGACTGAATAGCAACTTTTCTGGGTTTGAGAGCTTTAAGATCCCATGTACTGGCTTAGATTTGAACTAAAGCATCATATATTCCCAGTCTTGCTGTGTCTTGTTTTTGATCTGCATAGGCTTGGCTGTCCAAGCAGTAAGACTATAGAAGAACAAACACTTGTCTAATAAGCCAATGTAACTCCTGATTCTTTGGCAGATGACTGCATTCCTCTCTACAGTAATATATATACCTTCTTGCAAGTATATTGGACATACTCCTTGTTGGTTCTGTGTTGCCATACATCTTTATATCCTCTAGAGACAGGTGGATATCCTTCCCTGGGGTTGGTTGCCCTCTGTACTTCATGCATCTTCACTACTGCAGGAATACTGCAGAGACAGCTTGGCCAAAGAAAAAGGCATGAGATGATCTGTTTTCCAGCTTGCTTTCTCTGCTGATAGTCCCAGACACTAGAAATCAGATGAGGTTGAATGTTGAGTGGTGTGCAAAACAGGTTAGGATAGCCAGTTGAGGAGAAATGCATTCTCTCCCTGACAATCCC